TCAGTAACAAATGTTAAAATTGCAACTATCACTTAAGCGTAGTAGATAGGGATTACTTAGCGCTCGTTCGGTCGGATCTGTTTTATGGATTGGCAACTTAAGTGATGTGAGTCGAATATCCTCACAGAAAGTCATATTTTGGTGTGGGTGTCGTTGGAACGCACATTTCGTTGCGTTCAATCAAAACAACCTCAAGGTGCACGGCGGGTGTTTTCAAAAACTCACTTAAAATGGAGGCCTAAAAATTTCGGTCGGATAAGGGCATTGGCGACGTGGTCCCTCACTGCGGCGATCAACAATTTGCGTGCACAATCGCACTTCGGATTCTGCGGTCATCCAGGGTGTATATGACGTTAAAAATGCAACGCTTCTCTTTGACGATCTGACGAACAACCAGCTGTAATATATAGTGCCTCACTGTTGTTGATTGATCTAAATTATAATTACTTCAATCAAAGTTCAAGAACAACATGTTAACAACACCTGTTCTTCGGGAAAGGCGAGTTTACCTCATTTTATCAAATCTTTCTGTTAGATGTTGTGTCTAACTTATTCCGGTATACATAAGCTCCAAAACAACCGTTAGAACCATGAAACGGATATTTGATACTAACCTATTCACTAGCTGGCCTTCAGGTAGGACCAGTAGTCTGCGTTGTCATTTCTAATTGAAATTTCGCACCGTCTACCATGTTTAATAGTGGTGTTTAATGGCAAATAGATGCTCACCACTGAATTTACGCAACGCAGTCGTCCCACTGTGCTCCAGGGCTCAACCTAGAATCTTCACAGGCAGTCGCATAGCTAACGAATAGTTTAGGTAGGTAAGAAGTGTGGCGCTCACCAATTAGGCTGCAGACCGTGCTGGCCCCGCTGTACTCGTCCTGTAACCTAATCGACAAGCGTCTATCTACCATAATTATTATTCCCGAAGACAACTGATAGGACAGCGGGCCCGTGGCTCGATGGTAAAGTGTTACAGTTAAGGACCAAAGATACCGGGTTTGGATCCCAGACGTTCCACATCTGGGGTTGGATTTGACTTGCTTACAACTGCTAATTAGCCAGAACTGAACATTCTGGTTTCCCTTGTCTTTGTCTTTACCACTTTATCTACTTAAAAAGGAATGGGTGGTTCAGGAAACCCGCATTTCAAGCACTTTTTTGGACAGTAGGTTTGTTGTCAAAGTTTCATGTTACTTTTGACGCACTAACCTTTAGAAATATCCAAGCGACGTTTTTGTACTGATTGTTAGGTAATCTACAATTGCACTCCCCAAGGCTGTCAACAGCAAATGCCATGTATGAGCAACAGCGGAGCAGATCCGGATGATGGAACCCCAAAGGATATGGTGATCGTGAAACAGACACACCACAGCTTTCGAGCAGCCAGCATTGCCTCCGGAACGGAAAGGTGGAACTATAGCGTGCGGTCCGATGAGTTGACTCTCGTGCGCAATTGCGGCGATCTAAGTCATACATTTCTCTTCGGTTCTTCAAACTGGCCACCGACAAACGTGAGTTTATAATAGGCCTCTGCTTAAACTTCCTTCAAGCAACGAATCTACCATATTTTTTGTTTGGTAATCTGATTACTCACTCTGTCCCTTAAAACGAGAAGAACGGTATACTAGGTCTTCAGGACGTTAATAAAGTAGTTTTGTCAGTGAATACAGCTAAAACGTCACTTGAAGTGTTTCAGAGTCACACAGATATGATCGAGATCCACCGACAACTTCAAAGGAGTTATATCTAATATGGGTAATATGTTACTGGACTATTATCTAAAATCTCCCCATTTCTGTGTTTGGTTATCATTTCTACCAGCTGTCAGTAGTCACAGGGTTAGATCTATTCCTATCTCCTCTAAACCAATCTGCTAGGGAAATAAAAGATAACTGAGGCTAAATGACATGTAGTGTGTGACAATACATCCTCCTCTGGCTTCTTTACATATCATCAGTGCCAAATGGCCTTTCTATTTTTTGTAGTCTGCATTTAAAGAAACAGCCAAGGATAAAGTTTTGGGGAGTCCTTTCAAGTTTGACCTGGAAGCGGGCATTGTCTACGCATATGCCAACTCAGCCGACAACGAAGAGCTCTGGCACACCAAACTCGGGGCTTCCATCGTCAAGGCTTGGCTTTACCGTGGAGACAGTATCGAGCTTATTCCGCTTTGCGTCTTCTCGCGTATGTCTAACGCTTTAATCACAATTAGTCTTTTCCTTAAAAAAAATAGACGCCTGCCATGTATTCCGCTACGCATTTGTTGTCTTTATTGGCCGTGCCGGTAATTGTTGCTGGAATAGTCTTCCAGACTCCAACTGTAACAGTGCTTAAAGGAAAATGCCAATTAGGGTAAGAGAATCTCCTTCACTGGTGCCGATGAACTGCCCATCTCACTTTAACAAGCAGCGTTTAACATTCCTTTATCAAATCTGATAATGTTCGAATCGGTCAGCTTTATCCTTAAGGCAAGGAACTATTCGGTATTTGAGAAACATTACATCAGTAATTTCTAATTATCTATCCACTCCACTAACGGTCCTATGTGTAGTCGGTCAATTGTTTCCTTTCACTAGTTTTTGCGAACCGAAATCCAACCCTCGACCTCCCCGC